GATGCTGGTAAAAACATCACAAGAATTTAAAACACTACAGCGAACGCGGGGAATTTGCAGGATAATTAATTATCCCAAATAACCCAGTGAAGATAGGATGATAACTTATTAGAGAAAAAGGAGAGAGGTAGAAGGTGACCTCTTGTAATTAAAGTAAGCTGATAAAATGGATGAAGCGCTTTTAGAACTACTAACACTGTACATTTACACGTTGGATTTTTTGAATTACATTGTACTTTAAGAGTAAGCTTGTATACGAGCGTTTAACGAAAATTAGCACCGGGAAACTTTCAAACAAAGAAAAGCACAGGATGTAGATTTTTCTGGTACGATAAGCGATCTCTTGGAAACTTCTAATATCCCTCCTAGGAAGATCAAATTAAAATAGTAGGATGTAACTACTTCCGCATTTGTGATAAAAATTTAATTATATGGTAGGAGTGAGGTTTAAAGAGAGCAGTTAAAAAAGCAGGCTTAAAAATTGCTTTTGCTTTAAAATTACTTTTTCACGAACACTTTGTGTGAAATCTGTTGCAAAAATTTTATACGACCGAAAAACTGTTTTTGAAATACAGTGGTATTAATTACGGCACACACAAGTTAACACCTCCTTATTCTTCTTCTTAATCACAGTTAAACTATTTCTCGGAAAGAAGACGAAAAGTCCAGGACTTTTTCCGAAATGTTTTTTTACATGAAACCTCTTTCGTCGAAAATTCTTGCTCATATTTCCCTGAAATGCTTGCTAGCCATAAATTTCTCTATAGAGTACCTTTTGTATGGATATTAGTAGTATTTCGAGCTCAGCGTTGGTCTCAAAACAAACTACTGCTAATTGAACAAATACTCAAATAAACGAAATTAAAACGGGCGGAACTTCTTACTGTAAAACTTTGGTAACCAAGGTCACATGCAAGCCAGCCTAACTTGAAGCTCTCCACCCCTAGGAACTTAAAATGCTATTGTTATTTTCCCGTCACTGGTTGGTCAAATTAAGCAAAATTTGTATGGGCATGACTCCTTTCTAAAATATGATTGGTTCTTGTCGTTTTCGCTTTCCCTTGTTGGATCCACGTAGCAGCACTGCCGTGTAAACTGAAACACTTTATAATTTTCCTTGGGGCGTGCGGCCGTGTCGTGAAAATACCTCAAGATGGACGCCGGAGTCAAAATTGCACTCTTGTTGAAATTGTTCCTCGGAGTTGGTGAGTTGGTTTTTACCTACGTCTTAATTTGATGTTGGCCTGTGAAAACTTTAACTTTCACCAGTAACAAATTCACGTTTACCTAATATATATAAATTATCACACGAAATTGATTGCTCACGTCTTAGTGTTCTATGAAATCTGGCTCTTCTATCGGGTGAAAGAATGAATTAGGAACAATCGGCGAGACAATCTTGAAAAAAATCAACACTTACTTGAATTTTGTACGTGTGCCAGCACAAAAAGACTCAGGATAGTTTGTTCAATAGTCTAGCCAAAAACCAAGAAAATAACTCAGAACACAGCCAGCGAACAGAGTGTCTTGGAATATCTAGGCCACATCCAAATTAAGCCGGTGAAATTTGAAAACGCAGCTTTATTCCTGCGGTTACACACTAAATCCGTCACGAAAACGGAACTTTTCGAAAACGCTCTTCAAACCGGAGTAATTTGAACACCTACGTTTTGTTTTCGTATGGACGGAAACATTGTGAAATGAGAGCTTTTCGGCAACGATGTCATCGCGATATTCAGGTGATTTTCCTGCCCGCCGATTGTTATGTTCTTAAATTCCCCTGGCGTAGTGTGGACGGAAAACATTTGATGCGCTTTCAGAGTGAAACCTACAATTCCTCAGTATAGTGTGGACGGGGCCTTAAACGTCTCTTATGCTAGCTCAGTGGGTTCAGGCCTTGTCAAGGTCTATGTCAGGTTTTGTAAAACATCTTTACATCGCATTTGATGCCTTCCTTGATGTGCCATTAATCAGCGGTTAAATCTTTCGCCTTCTACCTTTTGAAACCTTCATCCTGCTTCGTTTGATAACAAAATTGCTACATACTCGCTATTCCCTGAGAGAAATTCTAAGATGACTTGGTTAATTTCCTGCCTGTTGTTGATACCATAGTTTAGCAGTTCTATTTTTAGCGGTATTGTTTATGTAACTAAGAATGAAGAACGGGAGCATATGTAATTTGTCCTCAAACAACACCTTTGAAGACGCCTCTGAGACCCGAGGCTCAAACATTCAGTTTAAAGAACAGCACCCTCTACTCTCTAATGAAAACTAACGTAAATAGCATATCACTAATTGTTTCAAACCTCTTTTCCCCCTGTAGGTTTAGTTGCTGGAGGTATGTACAAAAATTACTTAAAACATGTCTTAAACTAAAACGTGAAATATCGTTTGCTGTCGATTGAAAGCCTCAGACTCTGTTGGTGTATACGAATAACGACAGAAGAAAATGAAGGTGATAGACACATTGGAAAAACTCTTTTAACGCAACGAAAAAACACCGGTGGCCTCATGGTTAGTGCGCTCCTTTCCAGATCGAGCGATTCAGGTTCGAGCCAGGTTCAGGTTCGGCGACAATATGTTGTGTTTTTAGGCAAGACAATTTACCCTCACAGTACCTCTCTCCACCCAGTTGTATAAATGAGTACCAGCGAATTTAATGCTGAGGGTAACCCTGTAATTGCCTAGCATCCCAACCAAGGCACAGTGCCTCTCCTCACCCAGGTGAGAAAATGAATACCAGTAAATTTAATGCTGACGGTAACCCTGCAATTGCTTAGCATCCCAACTAGGGGGAGCTCAGTGAAATACTCCTAGTCGCTTCATACTACAGAAATCGGATTAACACTATCTTTGACGTTTGAATTGACATATTTGATGTTTAAGAGGACATTAAGAACATCCTATTCTTCCATTTATTTGTATGATTTCTCGGTCAGGTTTTACTCTTAGAACGACCAAAAAATGCGCGCAAATACTGGGAATGCAAAACAACCAAATCCCGGATTCCGCTCTCAGCGCCTCCACTTCCTACAATGTTAGCTCTATGGGTCCAAGAAATGGAAGGTTATATTTCCAGGCAAAGAGTGGGAAGTACGGTGCTTGGGCCACGTCAAGGAATGACAAATTTCAGTGGTTTGGAGTCGACTTTGGGAGTTATGCAAAGGTGACCGCATTAGCTACCCAAGGAAGGCAAGATGGGGCCTGGTGGGTGACGAGCTACAGTCTGTCATTCAGCCACGATGATGTCTTCTTTGAAGACTACAAAGAAAACAATGTGAAGAAGGTATGCGACGTTATAGTCCCGATTTAGATAAGATATTAATCCCTAATATCTATCAATCTAAACAGTAAATACAATCTCCTACTTTCTCACTCTACCGTGTGGTGACAATAATTACGCCTCAAGTGTATCTATTGTGTCACATCGTCTATTTTGAACTTTATCTATGAACTGGCGTACAATCGGTCTTCGATGACAGAGGATGACACTCATATGGTCGAGTAGGATACAAGAGACGACTACGCTCGAAAGGGGTGTCTCTTCATCCTTGTGGTATTTAAAAGGATAGGGACATAAGTATTCTAAATCGTCGCAAATTAAAAAAAAAAAATTGTAGCAACTCAAGTCCATATGGCATACCAAGAGAATCGCTCTTGGTCATATTAGAACAGGTATCAAGACCTGAGCAGAACTGTTCGTGTTCGAAGTTGTAACGGAAGAATGGTGGTAGGGATTACATAACAAAGGGAGATCTCTTTTGGCCATGCAGTATTGTATGTGAAAGTGGGCGTATACCATTCAAACCATAAACACTTGAAAGATTTGGTTTGCGCAGTGGTTTGATGACTACGAAAGAAGGTTCCCGGCATCAAAAAGACAGACAAGCGTTTTTACACTGTGAAAAGGCTAATGCACAAAACATGTAGGCTTCTACACTGCTAGCGAAAGTTAGGGGTTAACCTTCAGATGGAGCTATTTTGCAGGCGTATGAAAATTCATCGGGTAGCCCCACCCTCTTCAACTGGAGGGGTTCTTTAAAAGGTTCTTGAATAAGGAAGAAAACAAATACAAATCGAAAACCCACCCATGCAGACTGAAATCGTCTAGTCGGGTCACTTTCGCTTTGTTCTGTTTCAGATTTTTGCTGGTAACCTTGACCGTCACACTGTCGTTAGTCATGATCTTAAAAATCCGATTATTGCCAAAGTTATCCGAATAAACCCGATTACTTGGCACAGCTACATCTCTTTGCGGGCGGAATTCTATGGCTGCAGAGAAGGTAAGGACGAGATAACTTTAAAAACCCACATTTGCTTTTCTATTGTGAACATAACATATTATTTAAAAGTTATTGGATCAAGCGTTTCGTGATATCCACAATAAGAGCCTAGGAGGTGTTATAGATGGCAAGACATCTTTTAAGGGCCATCTTAAAAATGAAAATTTTATCTCATAGCACAAGCTAGAGCAATAAAGGAATATATGTAAATTTTAAGGTCTACATTAACCAATTTAATAATACATATATCTTATTAGATGTTTTGGTGTGTAGTATCGCTATTTTAACGAGTTGTGCCGTATTTTGACGAGCCCGTAGGGCGAGTCAAAATACAAACAACGAGTAAAAATATACAGCGATACTACCAACTGCTGTAGTAAATAAATTTATCAATGAAAGAGGGACAGTGTGACAATTTTGCGTGCGCGCGCCGACCTGTACGGCAAACAGGTTTTCTACTGTACAAATATGGCAAACAGGTTTTCTACTGTATAATATCGCTGTATATTTGTACTGTTATTTGGACGGTATTCGCTGCAGTTGGATAATAATCTAAAGTTAATTAAGTTACTGTTTTGGAAGAACTTACGGAAATGTATAAAAAAAAAGACAAGGACTATTTTTATAACGCTCTCCTTCTTCATTTCTCCTAGCAGCTCGTGGAAAGTGGCTTCAGAAAATGGCTATACAACAAAAAAGCAAATAAAAGAGACGTTGATTTAGATCATGGTTTCTTAGCTTGGCAAATATAAGTAATGACGCGGTTCTTAGAGCGAAGTCTTGATAATAAACATCCCCCACTCTCTCACTCGCTAGAGACAAAAGACACATATTACTATCTATATTCACCTACCTTTAATGCCATTTGATATGAAATGTTCAAAAAAAAAGAATGTACTCCAAGACTGAGGTTTGTTTCATTACATCTTTTTGTTCAGGATTCGAGAAACCAGAGATCGTTTGCGCGACGGCTCTTGGAATAGAACACGTGAACCAGATTCCAGATAGTGCAATCGTCTCCTCTTCACAATATAACACATATTATGGACCAGAAAGAGCAAGGTTGCGTCTAGTGACTCAAGGAAGCTTTATCGGTGGATGGTCTCCCAAGTCATCCAATACAGGGGAGTGGATCGAATTTGACCTGGCAGAAAATATCAAAGTCACCGGAGTTGCAACTCAGGGCCGAGACAATGCCGACTGGTGGACCACCAGTTACACGCTATCCACTAGAGTCAAAGGCGGAAGCTATGAGTCATACAACAATGGCTATGTAAGTAATATATTTATATAGAGAGTATTACTTGGTTGAGAATTATATCACTTGGACACATGTGTGGATAATTTATTTGATTTTTTTTAAATAATCGTAATTAAACTGGGTGGAGTACACTTTGGTCTCAAACCATACGCGTGACTCCAAAATCGAACAAGTCGCGCAGCACGAGTTCGAATTAAAATCACAAGTACGATTTCAGACCAGAAATTGCACGGTTATTCCCTGAATTGTGCGAAAAGAGGTTTAATTACTAATTTTAATTAGGAACAATTTAAATCATTTTTATAACAAATTTCGAAATTCAAAACTTCTTTTGAGCGAAATAGTAGCGCTGTAACTTTTAATAACTGCGGGAAACATTGAGAAGGAAGCCATTGAAACGCGCGTAATTGACGTGCGAAGAACTGGTCACGATCGAGAATTTTGTTATGGATACCATTAAGGATTTAATCAGTGCCAATATTGTATTGATCTAGTTGCTGGTTCGTTAAAAAAAAGTGGTATCGGAAACGTTTTTACATACAGTGAAACCTCTATTAGGCGGACTCCTTCGAGACCTTCTCAAGTGTCCGCTAAATAGAAGGTGTCCGCTTAATAGAGGTTTGTAAAAATTGCGCAACGCTTGTTAACGATTAACATTCAACGGCTACTCTGTACCGTGATAAAGCTTCATTTTGTTAAGGAAGCTATCCAGAGTTCAAGTTCAATACCTTTCATTAGCAATTTTGATTTGTTATTTAAATTCAAAAATATAACAGCAACGATAATACGCGCGGTACATGGACTATTTTAATGTTTGTGTACAAATTAGTTATTTCTTAAAGTAATTATAAATTGAAGTTTGTCTCTGGTTTCGAATAGTTATTTCCTGAAGCCAGATCTGTTGATTTAGACAGGACCAGCGAAAGCTTCTCATTCTCTTTAAATCTTGCATATTCGAGAAGCTTTTCGGCCATTTGTAGCGCTTCCCGGTCGGATTTTAATTCCAGTGCCTTCTCTTCCTCGTCATCCACACATAGCGAGGATGTAATCCAATACTACTGCATTGTCAGTTCAGTCCGGTGTCCGCTTAATAGAGATTTTTAACGATAGAAATTAGCCAAATTATTATTGGACGTCCGCTTAATTGGGGGTCCGCTCAATTGAGGTTTCACTGTATCAGAAAAATATGCGATTTAATGCAAAAAATAGCGCGATTTGTAAGTAAATCGCACTGGCTTTCCTGCAACTTGATTGATTACTTTAAGCAATATTAGGGAGTCTGGTTCATTAAACAAATTTACACGCCTTCTCTACCATAATTTTTAAACACGGCATTCATGGAAACCAGGATTTTTCTTAATGTCATATTAATGTAAGTTAATATAATGTTAAGATTTGGATTTTTAGTCATTATTACGTAAATTTTTTCTACCTGATGTTTTTACCGTGTATAAATAATGATTAAAGATTAAAGATTCCATTCTTATTGGCTGGGGAAAAGATGCGATTTAGAGCAAAACAAAACAAAACAAAACAAAACAAAAAAGAAAGCGTTTCCTAAATGAATCGCACTGCCGAGAGCCAACCAGATTGCAAGTATCGCCAGTGATTTCCAAATGGATGTATTAAATTCTTAAATTTCACTGATTCACTCTATCAGCCGCTCGCGGAAAAACTTATAAAATTCATCAGGAATGTATTGGGCCCGAATTTGACCAGCGTCGTAAATTAAACTTCAGTTAAAACTACTCAAGCTTTGGTTACCTTCGGAATATCTCCGACATTTTCCGGTAATCTTTGGAAACCTCAGTCTGAAATAAGCTGTAACATTCAGTTGTTATGGACTCCGTCGCACGATCTTCGGTTGTCCATGTAAAACTTTTACATAGTGGAAGAAATCTTCGGAAGACCTTCGGGTTATGTTCATACGTTTAAGTGGGTAGTTTATAAATTGCGTTCTGTGTTAATAATAAGGCAATGAAAATAGCAGAAATAATGATTGATAAGTAAAGAAATGTTCAGATGAGAATGCAATTATATGCTTTGCTTTTAGGTATTTCCAGGCAATAGAGACAGAAATACAAAAGTGGGTAACATTCTAAACCCACCGATTATTGCGCGCTTCGTCAGGATTCATCCCAAGACGTGGAATAGTTTCATCGCACTACGAGTGGAGATTTATGGATGCAGAGAGGGTGAGAACATTTGTGCACTTTGGTCTACCCCTCCAATTAGAAATGAATCGGATAGTTAGTTTGAAACTGACACCAGGAGAGCTGTCCGCTGACAAGAAATTAGAGCGATATTTGTTCTTGTGAAGGATACAGTCGGCTCCCTATAACTCGAACCCCGCTAGCTCGAGGCTGTCACTAATTATAACTCGAACCAAAAGCGATTTCAACTGGATTTCCATCATAACCTTACTGTATTTTTTCCAAGGTAACTCGAACCCACGACACCGGGAACCTCTCACAAACTGGAAGCAAATTTGGTCAATTTCAGGTCAATTTCTACATAATTTTACCGTCGAGAACTCTTACCATGTTTGTCAATACGTAAGAACTCAAAACATACAGCACTGCAGTTTAAAATATTAAATAAATTTTGAAGCAGCCGTGTATTCTTTGAAACGTCAGGTGTCGCAGGGTTAGGGTATACGGCACTATAGTTAGCTACAGTGCATTGTATCTTCATGAAGCTTTGCTTTTAACTCCTTCTGCATTTTCACACGACTTAGTTCTCTGTAATATAACTTGACTAAAATGTACACTGTATAATTAGAAATACAGTGAACACCCTTTCCCCCCTTATTTCCAGTCATTTGTTCTCAACTGCTGATAACTCGAACTCCAGAACTTCCGATAACTCGAACCTTTTTCAATTTCTCTCGGAAGGTTCGAGTTAACGGAAGTCGACTGTATATTCTAGCATCATATGCAAACGTGAAATAACAAAAAAATGTATCTAATCGTCTGTTTAAAGGCGAAGGCTTTTGTGTCCGGTCATGAAAAGTTAAGAACAAAAAAATATCGATGAAAGCCTCAGATGAGAGTATATGATAGTGCAAATTTATACAAAAAAAGCATCTATTTTTTATCTTATTTTGATATAATCTCAACATTTAGTTTCATCTGGTTTACTTTTCCTGGTGCTTACAGCTCTTGGTTCGCTTGTTAAACGTTTCACAACGCCAAAGCTACCCACCTGCCAAGCACCTCTTGGAATGCAAAACAACCAGATACCAGACTCCGCTCTGAGGGCATCCACGTCATACAATGTGAACTCCATGGGACCAAGAAACGGTCGATTACATTTTCAGGCATCATCAGGCCAGTACGGAGCTTGGGCTGTCTCCACAAATAACGAGTTCCAGTACTTTGAAGTGAACTTTGGTGACTGGACTAAGGTTACAAAGGTGGCGACTCAAGGAAGACAGGATAGAGGATGGTGGGTAACGAGCTACAGTCTTAGCTACAGCTACGATGGAGTGTTCTTTGAAGATTACAAAGAGGATGGCGTAGTCAAGGTATTTTATGAATATTTTTTACACAATGGGTAACTTGTGTTTGACCTTCTGTTCGGCTCCCTGTACACAGGCCACAGCAAAGGTAACAAAAGTTGTGTCTGCATACGACCCAATGGCCCTTCAGCCCGGTTTCTGTAGCATGAAGCTGCTAGGAATATTTCTACTCCTCCCTGGATGGGATGCTACTCCAACGCAGGGCTACCCCCCGCTTTAAATTCGCCGCTACTCATTTGTGCACCTTGGTTGAGAGAGGCATTGTGAAAATAAAGTGTCTTGCCCAAGAACACAACAGAATTTCTCCGGCCGGGGTTCAAACCCGCTCGACTGGGATCCGGAGTCGAGCGCACTAACCATGAGACCACCCAGCCTCCACACGGGCTACAGTGTTTTTTATAAATTTAAGCCAGTTTGTCAAGGGTATTGTGAATTTACAATTAAACAGACAGTATAGGAAAGAAATAAACAATGAAAAGTTAGTAATGCAAACTAAGATGGCTACCTAGACTCACTTTATCTACAACTACATGTATATAATAATGATTATAATATGTTGATCACTCTCGGTTATTAAGTAGTTATAATATGTTGATCTTTAAAAATCGTATCAAAACTATTCATAGGGGAGCATGTTGTCCCCTAAACTCTTTTCTTCAATTCAGTTTCATTTATCATGTTATATACAGATGATCTTTTTCCATTTCATTTTTTTAAAGGTATTTACCGGGAATAGCGATCAACATTCAGTAGTAACACATGCTTTGAAGAATCCGATCATAACCCGTTACCTTCGTATCAAGCCCAAGACCTGGCGCAGTTACATATCGTTACGTGCAGAGTTCTATGGTTGCCGGCAAGGTGGGCTCCCTAATTTCTAAACTTACTACTCGGTTAAAAGTGTCCCAGAATTTCGTTTCCTCCTTGTTTCCATGGATTAATTCTTACGGCGGAGTTTTCGCTACATCATTGTGTTTTGACTCAATCTATATAACCTGTTTAAACATATTGATAGCTGCATTAACAACACCAAATGATATTTCATGTTCTTTATTTAACAAATACCAGTAATAGTGCTTCGAATGATGGATCACATGATATTCCTCTTATACAGTTATTCAATTACCTGATGTCTTTTTCAAGTTGTGGTGGATTTTATTTATCATATTGGAAACTTGCGCTGAAATGTATGGTTTTGCTCAATTATGACTTCTTTTTAAGGTTTCACACCTCCACAAATCAAATGCCAAGATCCTCTGGGTATTGAGAGCGGCAAGATTCCAAGCACTGCCATTGCGGCATCATCACAGTACAATCAATATTATGGACCTGACCGGGGCAGGCTGCGGAAAGAAGTAGAGGGAAGCTATGCGGGAGGTTGGGCGGCGCAATACAATGATGCTAAACAGTTTCTACAGTTTGACTTGGGTAAGGTGGCCAAAGTGACTGCCGTCGCTACTCAAGGTCGATCGAATGCTGACTGGATGGTGTCGAGCTACACGTTGGCATACAGTGTAGATGGCGGGTCTTTTACACCTTATGGTGAAGGGGATGGTCAGGCAAGGAATATTTTCTTCCTTCTTTATTATGTTTCGCAAGTTAATAATTTACATTCGTATAAGCGGAATATCCAATCGCAACGAAGCGTCAACTTCTCTTTGAGGTCGACCTGTAACTTTAATTGCCAAGTAATCTGAAGCAGCGTCTCTTTAAAGATACAAATCTTGTTTGCAAAAAATTGTAGATAACTTCAAATCGATAGAAATTAATAAAATAAAAATCAGCTTTTGTTAATACTGATTTCTTACGGTAAGACTTATTGTCTTTCACGTGCACCTCCACTTAACCAAATCAAGAGTGAGTCACGTATGAAAAGAAATCCACGTTCACATCTATGCTTCTTAAAGATGTTCTGGTTATATTTGGGGATATCTAGAGGCAGGAATAGTAATAATAATAAAAAGATGCCTTCCAGTATAAGTTGTCGAAACCAAATTCAAACGTCATTAATTGTCGGAAGTACTGACTAGAAACACGAAACTAGCTTGGAAAAATGAAATGAAGATCAAAATTTCTACCCTCGGAGACCAGTTAGCAAGATAATATATACTTTTTTCAGTCAATGAAGCGTACTAAACACAGTTTTATCTCAGGTGAATATCTTTCTCTTTCAATTCGTTAGGTATTTACCGGCAACAACCTTGACAGAAATGAACCTGTCGGAAACACGATCGATCCACCCATCATCGCACGCTTTTTACAAATTCGTGTCAAAACCTATAAAGGTCGTATAAGCATGCGTGCTGAGTTTTATGGATGCAGAGAAGGTTTGTTTACCATTTCGTACAACGCTAAGTGAATAGAGGCCAGAAAATCTCCGTAACCTTTTCGGGCCCGCAAAGCCACTTTTAGTTAACCTGTACATGTGCGCCGACTCTAAAATCAGAGTTTTATGCGCCGTTAACTTCCTGTATGAAGCGAACCTCTGTTAGGATTAAGAATATGTGAATAAAATAGCTTTGTAACGTTTGAGATTTTGCCTTGGCTTTCCGTGTGCGAAAACGTTTCATGACCTTCTATTTGGGAAACGGACTCCGAGTGTCTACTTGATCGTTGCGAAGACGCTTGCAACTCTTTATAGAATACCAGAGGCAGCGTGGCAGCGTGGCCGAGTGATTAGGGCGCCGGACTTGAAACCCAGAGGTTGCGGGTTCAAGTTCCGCTCTGCCGCTACTAAGCTGGAGTTTTTTCTCGGTAGACGCTAGTTGAACTCCTCGGCCACGCTTGTAAATAGCCAACTGGTGTGCCTCCTGCCAGTTGGGATTTTTAACCATGTTATGTTCATTTGTATTATTTGTTTCATCATTTAGTTTCATTGGCCCTGAAAAGCCCCGCTGGGGGAGTGTTCAATTAACACATTTAATTTTTAATTTAATTTAATTTACCTTGTTCTCGTGACGCTGATTCTTTTCCCTTACATATTTCCACATAACTATAGTCAGTGGTTTTAATCATTAACTCCAAAAGGTTTTCCGACCCCAAAGCCACCAGTGTGTCTTGAAGCCCTTGGAATGCAGGATGGAAGAATTCCGGACTCGTCGATAACGGCGTCGAGTGAATACGGCTCTGCATACAAGGCCATTAATGGCAGATTACATTTCCTGTATAGATCAGGGAGAATTGGAGCGTGGAGAGCGAAAACGAGTGACGTCTTCCAGTATCTTCAAGTAAATTTTGGTAATTGGACAAAAATAACTCGGGTTGCCACTCAAGGAAGACAAGATTACGATTACTGGGTGAAAAGCTTCAGCCTTTCATACGGCGCTGATGACGTATTTTTCAAGACTTACAAAAGTGGTACAAAAAAGGTAATTTAACTGTTTTAAATGCATTTAACTCCTAAAGATCGAGATAGAGGACCAATTTTGTTAGCAAAGTTATGCGCAAAATTATTTTAACTTAATAAATCGCAGCGTAAAATAAATCTGCGAGGGCAAACTATATTTTCTCCATATTAGTCAGCCTCCATCATTTTCGAAGCCATCGAAATTATTGAGATTGNCTAGGAATATTTCTACTCCTCCCTGGATGGGATGCTACTCCAACGCAGGGCTACCCCCCGCTTTAAATTCGCCGCTACTCATTTGTGCACCTTGGTTGAGAGAGGCATTGTGAAAATAAAGTGTCTTGCCCAAGAACACAACAGAATTTCTCCGGCCGGGGTTCAAACCCGCTCGACTGGGATCCGGAGTCGAGCGCACTAACCATGAGACCACCCAGCCTCCACACGGGCTACAGTGTTTTTTATAAATTTAAGCCAGTTTGTCAAGGGTATTGTGAATTTACAATTAAACAGACAGTATAGGAAAGAAATAAACAATGAAAAGTTAGTAATGCAAACTAAGATGGCTACCTAGACTCACTTTATCTACAACTACATGTATATAATAATGATTATAATATGTTGATCACTCTCGGTTATTAAGTAGTTATAATATGTTGATCTTTAAAAATCGTATCAAAACTATTCATAGGGGAGCATGTTGTCCCCTAAACTCTTTTCTTCAATTCAGTTTCATTTATCATGTTATATACAGATGATCTTTTTCCATTTCATTTTTTTAAAGGTATTTACCGGGAATAGCGATCAACATTCAGTAGTAACACATGCTTTGAAGAATCCGATCATAACCCGTTACCTTCGTATCAAGCCCAAGACCTGGCGCAGTTACATATCGTTACGTGCAGAGTTCTATGGTTGCCGGCAAGGTGGGATCCCTAATTTCTAAAATTACTACTCGGTTAAAAGTGTCCCAGAATTTCGTTTCCTCCTTGTTTCCATGGATTAATTCTTACGGCGGAGTTTTCGCTACATCATTGTGTTTTGACTCAATCTATATAACCTGTTTAAACATATTGATAGCTGCATTAACAACACCAAATGATATTTCATGTTCTTTATTTAACAAATACCAGTAATAGTGCTTCGAATGATGGATCACATGATATTCCTCTTATACAGTTATTCAATTACCTGATGTCTTTTTCAAGTTGTGGTGGATTTTATTTATCATATTGGAAACTTGCGCTGAAATGTATGGTTTTGCTCAATTATGACTTCTTTTTAAGGTTTCACACCTCCACAAATCAAATGCCAAGATCCTCTGGGTATTGAGAGCGGCAAGATTCCAAGCACTGCCATTGCGGCATCATCACAGTACAATCAATATTATGGACCTGACCGGGGCAGGCTGCGGAAAGAAGTAGAGGGAAGCTATGCGGGAGGTTGGGCGGCGCAATACAATGATGCTAAACAGTTTCTACAGTTTGACTTGGGTAAGGTGGCCAAAGTGACTGCCGTCGCTACTCAAGGTCGATCGAATGCTGACTGGATGGTGTCGAGCTACACGTTGGCATACAGTGTAGATGGCGGGTCTTTTACACCTTATGGTGAAGGGGATGGTCAGGCAAGGAATATTTTCTTCCTTCTTTATTATGTTTCGCAAGTTAATAATTTACATTCGTATAAGCGGAATATCCAATCGCAACGAAGCGTCAACTTCTCTTTGAGGTCGACCTGTAACTTTAATTGCCAAGTAATCTGAAGCAGCGTCTCTTTAAAGATACAAATCTTGTTTGCAAAAAATTGTAGATAACTTCAAATCGATAGAAATTAATAAAATAAAAATCAGCTTTTGTTAATACTGATTTCTTACGGTAAGACTTATTGTCTTTCACGTGCACCTCCACTTAACCAAATCAAGAGTGAGTCACGTATGAAAAGAAATCCACGTTCACATCTATGCTTCTTAAAGATGTTCTGGTTATATTTGGGGATATCTAGAGGCAGGAATAGTAATAATAATAAAAAGATGCCTTCCAGTATAAGTTGTCGAAACCAAATTCAAACGTCATTAATTGTCGGAAGTACTGACTAGAAACACGAAACTAGCTTGGAAAAATGAAATGAAGATCAAAATTTCTACCCTCGGAGACCAGTTAGCAAGATAATATATACTTTTTTCAGTCAATGAAGCGTACTAAACACAGTTTTATCTCAGGTGAATATCTTTCTCTTTCAATTCGTTAGGTATTTACCGGCAACAACCTTGACAGAAATGAACCTGTCGGAAACACGATCGATCCACCCATCATCGCACGCTTTTTACAAATTCGTGTCAAAACCTATAAAGGTCGTATAAGCATGCGTGCTGAGTTTTATGGATGCAGAGAAGGTTTGTTTACCATTTCGTACAACGCTAAGTGAATAGAGGCCAGAAAATCTCCGTAACCTTTTCGGGCCCGCAAAGCCACTTTTAGTTAACCTGTACATGTGCGCCGACTCTAAAATCAGAGTTTTATGCGCCGTTAACTTCCTGTATGAAGCGAACCTCTGTTAGGATTAAGAATATGTGAATAAAATAGCTTTGTAACGTTTGAGATTTTGCCTTGGCTTTCCGTGTGCGAAAACGTTTCATGACCTTCTATTTGGGAAACGGACTCCGAGTGTCTACTTGATCGTTGCGAAGACGCTTGCAACTCTTTATAGAATACCAGAGGCAGCGTGGCAGCGTGGCCGAGTGATTAGGGCGCCGGACTTGAAACCCAGAGGTTGCGGGTTCAAGTTCCGCTCTGCCGCTACTAAGCTGGAGTTTTTTCTCGGTAGACGCTAGTTGAACTCCTCGGCCACGCTTGTAAATAGCCAACTGGTGTGCCTCCTGCCAGTTGGGATTTTTAACCATGTTATGTTCATTTGTATTATTTGTTTCATCATTTAGTTTCATTGGCCCTGAAAAGCCCCGCTGGGGGAGTGTTCAATTAACACATTTAATTTTTAATTTAATTTAATTTACCTTGTTCTCGTGACGCTGATTCTTTTCCCTTACATATTTCCACATAACTATAGTCAGTGGTTTTAATCATTAACTCCAAAAGGTTTTCCGACCCCAAAGCCACCAGTGTGTCTTGAAGCCCTTGGAATGCAGGATGGAAGAATTCCGGACTCGTCGATAACGGCGTCGAGTGAATACGGCTCTGCATACAAGGCCATTAATGGCAGATTACATTTCCTGTATAGATCAGGGAGAATTGGAGCGTGGAGAGCGAAAACGAGTGACGTCTTCCAGTATCTTCAAGTAAATTTTGGTAATTGGACAAAAATAACTCGGGTTGCCACTCAAGGAAGACAAGATTACGATTACTGGGTGAAAAGCTTCAGCCTTTCATACGGCGCTGATGACGTATTTTTCAAGACTTACAAAAGTGGTACAAAAAAGGTAATTTAACTGTTTTAAATGCATTTAACTCCTAAAGATCGAGATAGAGGACCAATTTTGTTAGCAAAGTTATGCGCAAAATTATTTCAACTTAATAAATCGCAGCGTAAAATAAATCTGCGAGGGCAAACTATATTTTCTCCATATTAGTCAGCCTCCATCATTTTCGAAGCCATCGAAATTATTGAGATTGTATGGTGAATCGAAGTCTTATTACTTTACTGTAAGTTTTTTTTCCTGAAAATATGTTTAACTATCCTTAGTAGCTTCACAGTAATTGTTTTCGTTCCGACATACTCAACAAGTTTCACATTTTTGCTCCATGCACCCACGAATTTTGCTCTTTAATTTTGAAGCTGTGCCTCTATAAGAGTTACGTTTAATTTTATGAACGTATGGAAAAATTGCAATCATAAACGCAATAGAGTATTTTTCAAACGCTTTATCTCTTAAAACAAGTTTTTCTCATTTTCTGACTGAAGGAAAACTGGGGAAAAGATTAATGGAATGGAAGATTTTCGATAAAAAAAAAAAAAGAAAATCAAAAGAAACTAAACAAACAGAAACCCCGAAAATTAAAAAAAGAAAAGAAAGTGTCAGATATCTAAAATCACGATTTGCACAGGTTATCTGGAGATTTCTGGAATATAAGTGTCCTAAACCTACCATATAGCGACAATCTGTAAGTCTGTTTTATTCTCATGAAACTTTTAGTACTAAATTGCATTGAATGAGCAGTATAATGCACATTTCGTAGCCGTTCTTTGCACATTACATGGCCAAATTATCTCTTTTTCAATCGGCGGCGAAGGCGAACCAGAAGGCTACTTTTTTTTGCGTTTCTATTTGATACTGGACGCTGTAGTTCTTAAATCATTCGACACACTGAATAGACCCAGTGAAAGTTAAACGGTGATGACTGTTGCAGAGACATATATGTGACATGACGGTAAAATGTCGGCTGACTTGTCGGTATTATTTTGTAGGCTGACTCGTGGGTCTATTGTCTCATCCAAAGCATTAGTAGTGTGTCGGCCGACGGACGTATCAGCGGTAGTGTGTCGGCCGAAATGTTTGTAATATGTCGGCCGACGTGTCGGTAGTGTGTCGCCCGACGCTCGTGTCGACGCATCGGTAGGAATCGATTTTTGTGTTTATTTATAATTGCGAGATTCTAAGCTTGAAAAATGACCCAGATATATGTATACAACAGCATTATTTTTCACATATAATTGGAAAAAAAAAATTTGCCATCGTAATTCCTGTTTTTCAAAAGTACGCAGAACTAGAACGCTGGCTTCACGCGCTTTGTCGTTTGGCAATGAACGGCCTTTTTAGAGATGTCTGCGCAAGATGGATAATGGACTTTTGAACTGTTCATGTAACTGTTGGTTTGGCAGCGTTATCGTTGTTTTTGCTTATTATCAGGAGAAGAATGACGCTTGACTTGTGCCCAATGGATTTCAGATCACGTGACTGAGTAAATAGAAAGCCGGCAGCATGCGCGTGCTAATGTGTGGCTCCATTTTATTCCTTTCAGGTATTTCAAGGAAATAATGATCGGTATACACCTGTCAGTCACGACCTGGAGACGCCCATCATTGCTCGCTACATCCGAATTCACCCAGAAACATGGGAAGGTCGCATTTCAATGAGAGCTGAGTTCTATGGCTGTAGAGATGGTAGGAATAGCCATATTGTAGTAATCAAGTATTAGAGCAGTGCTTTCAGTTTAGGGATAGGTTATTTTTCTGCGAAAGCTTTTTGTTTGAATTGAGAGTACGAAAAATTAATGAGACATAAATGGGAAACTAGTAAAAATTTTAATTTTCAATATCTTAGGTTGGTGATCCAACCGGCTAAACAGCGTGAGCCTGTTTAACTGCTCCTTATTATTTTAAGACATTTTCTCAGTCCCTTAATTTGTCTTACAATAGTGAAGGAAATTTGATGTTCTTAAAACATCTATTTGCCCGAGAAGCGAAGCTTCGAGGGCAAATATGCTAATTTTAAGAACAGCAAATTCCAAGGGGCAGCTATGAGCTGGCCAATAGTTCCGTGACATAAACACTCTCTTGTCTTTATGGTTCACCACTAAATTTTCTTCTGCGCGCCAGTTCAAAAATTATATTGAATTATTTTCAACTTTTTTTATATGAAACCCGTGAAAGCCAAACGTAAAATCTGAAACAGAAAACAGACAAAAACCCACTTAATACAATTTCGATTGTTTTTTTAGCGGAGGCGGCGTGGCCGAATGGTTTAGGGCGCTGGATTTGAAATCTGGAGGTCCCTGGTTCAAATCATCCGCCCTACCGCTATCTGAATTTGTTCTCAGTAGCCCCGAGTTCAACTCCTCGGCCGCGTTGTGTAAATACCCAACTGGTCAGCCTCCCATCAGTTGGGATTCTTAATAGTGTTTGTTATATTTGAAATATTTGTTTATTTATTCAAAGTGTCCCCAATTAGCACATTAGTGCTAAATACATGGACACTTAAATAAAGTGATTATTGTTATTATTATTATTATTATTATTATTATTATTATTTTCTATAAACCCGCTTGTTTACAGAAAAATTTTCACAGACGAGTACTATCCATCCGGGTACTTTCCTCGAACGGACACTATGGGCTAATAGTGTCTCTCAGCGGATGAACACTATTGCGTCACGTGATCAATTTAAACTAATAGGAATCGCAGAAAATTTAGTGGCAAACTATAATAGCTGATAGTGTGTAATGGCTCAGCCAATCAGATAACAGCATCTGCATTAGTATACTAGCTAGTATAAAAACTTCTTTTATCTACCGCTTGTTTAAGTATGCCCAAAGGATAACGAATCTTTTCGCATGAAATAACTAGAAGTATTTAGATATTTTTATACATAATAGCCTGCAGTGTCACTGTATATTTTTACGAGTTTTAAAGTATTTTGGCGAGCACCCGTCGGCCTTGCGGTAGCTGTGCTACTCACTAAAATGTTTACTAGCTCTAAGCCTTTAACTGAGTTTGAATTGTATTTCTCGCGCTTGGAAAAACTCAGTCGATTGTATTCGTTTATCGTCTTGTTTCCTATACGGTGAAGTTGCATTATAATGAAGCAAAATGTGTAAACTACCTAAAGCTTTCTGTATATTTCTTAGAAGGAACTACGAATTGACTGATCAGATCAAATATGATGACACTGTGAAAAAACGAAAACAACAAAAATTACTATTGTGATAGAAAAGAGATTGAACTCCATTTTTAACCACGATCTTTTTCTTTTTTACGATATCAAAAGAATTTTGGTTCATCAAGATCGCAGAATCGAAACTTCGCGGAAACTTGCAAGGATCTATGATAAGTTTAGGAAGTTCAGTTTGACATCAGTTAGAAATGGTAACTCCAAAACTTTCTCTCGATAACTTCAAACAGGACTTTCTACTGTTCCAAAGTGTGGTAATAACGCCTTTTATTATATAAACACCAATGAAATACCAGGATTTTTCCTTTTCCTAAAAAATCATATCGTCATCGCGCACACTGAAGATACTATTTTTATCTTTTACACTGTGAAGATATCATTCCTTTTTGATAACATTTGTTTTTTGTTCCTTTAAGGTCATTGCCCCGAAAAAGAACGCACAATAGATTTTCATTTAAATTTTCCCTATTGGCTGCTTATATCAAGAGAACTTAAGTTTTGAAATAAAAAAGGAGGGTGCCCGTATTCGTTTAGGAGCAGGAGGACCCTCAATAAACCCCATAATTCCTTAAATTATCTGCTTTTAGAAACGTTTGCATTTAACCCCATTCATTTTATGTTTTGTGAGAGCTGAAAAATAGAAACAAGAAATACAACAATGGATCAATGTTAAGGAGCAATTTGATGTACGTTTCATGATAAAGGCACCTATATTTAGTGCTCCAAGCACGCAGTGTTCTTGAGGGCACATCTTATCGTTTACGAGTGCTTGCTATGCTCTCATTTTCAGTGATAATTTGTTACTCTGCAATAGAAATTGGTCTATATTCACTTTATAGAAAGAAGGTGATCGCTGCATTCAAACTAAGTAAAAAAATCGTTAGGTCCCCGTACTCGTTTCCGAGAAAAAAACGATCGTTTGTCTCTCGCAATCCAAGCCGTTTAGAAAAACCACCATTTTGTATGTGCACGCGCTTGCGAGCGCGCGCTAATGACGCGAAAATCCTGCGCAGTAAGGATGCGCAATGCAATTCTGAGGAATAACCTTAACTACACTTAAATTTGATGATGTATGATCGAAACATCGTCGGATCTTCTTCGGTCGTCTTCGGCAATCTTCGGCAATCTTCGGAAAGTGTTCGGAAACGTTCGTCTGGCCTTCAGAACAATTTTGGAGATCTTCGGAAAGTGGTCGGAGATCTTCGGAAAATCGTCAACAACGTCGTCTTTAGTATGTTTATATAATAAACAGTGAATACGAATGTGAATACGAGTTTTGTCTTCTCTTGTTCAACTCAATATCTCACCCGTTCGCTACGCTCACTCGTGAGATATCAAATTGAACACTCGAAGATAAAATTCTTATCCACGTGCGGGCATGTAATATCCTCTATTTTAACGCCCCTAGCAATGATTTATAACAAAAAAATATGAAACATATTGACGTTTCTGGTTGCCATCGCAACGTCTGTTGTTTTATATGCCGAGTTTATAACTGGCCAGACTTTTTGATTGAGTTGTCTGTTATTATGCAAAGCAGATACAACTGTCGTACTATTTGTTTGATTTAGCGCTTTTTTATGATTAGGATTTGAACACCCAAAACTGGAATGCCAGTCAGAACTTGGAATGAAGAGTGGAAATATACCCAACAGTGCTATCTCTGCTACCTCGAGTTGGAATCAGTACTATGGTCCAGAACGTGCCAGACTTAACACGGTGAAGTCAGGGAGCTTCAGAGGAGCGTGGGTTGCTGAGACTCAGGACATTGGACAGTTTATTGAAGTTGATCTGGGAAAAATTACAAAGATAACACGTTTAGCAACTCAGGGCAGAGAAGATTCATCCCAGTGGGTGAAAAGCTATTGCATCACCTACAGCGTTGAAGGAGGTCCATTTCTTCCTTACAATAACAACCAGGTAGACGCAGTGTAAAACAAATTCCCAACAGAACAAATGCACCCTGCCGGACCGTCTCAATACCAACTATGCTCCCTTCAGTCCCTTCTCGTTCGATCTCTCTGTAATTTGCATAATATGATCACACTCTCATTTTCCAAAATTTGAATCGTTGGGACAAAACAGAAGATGTATCGAAGCCTCAAGCGATTCCCTTCAGTCGACTAAAGATATATTTTTGTGAATTTTGCTTTGTATTTCTTGCTAGGTTCTCCCAGGTAATAAAGACAGAAATACAATTGTTGGACACATTCTCAACCCACCAATCATTGCGCGCTACATACGTATTCACCCCAAAGAGTACTACAGGTACATGGCTCTAAGATTTGAACTTTATGGATGCACAGAAGGTTAGTGAAAGGCTATGTTCACTATTGATGTGCGATTTATGTTCGTAATCGGTGTTGATTTGAAAGCTGAGATAATTCAAATGTCCCAGCGTTCAAACCCTGTGAGGCAATAAATAAACTATAGCCTCCATTTGGCGCGAAAATATGCTCGGTTATTTGTCCGCGGACATTATCTGTTCCGAGAGGCGTACAGTTTCCGAGAGCGTAGCTCGAGAAAAACTGTGAGCTTTGAGGAACAGACAATGTCCAAGGACAAAACCGGAGCACATATTTTCAAAGTCAAATGGAACCTATTGAGTTTATTGTCCTTCAAATATCTTTCGCAACACGCGCAGTTTTGAAAATCGGGGAATATTCTCGGATATTCCCCAATTTTAGCTTGGGTATATTTGGTAACGTGATGCGTGTAGACCAATCGCGAGCGAGCGAAAATATTTGATGGATTATAAGAAAAAATATATCATTAGGAGGAGATCTTGATCTACTGTGGGATTTATATGGTTTATATGGGATTTAGCACTCCACGAATACTGCTGCTTTTCAAGAGAAATGCTGCAAACACATAACCGAGTGAAAAAAGGGGGCTTCTGTATAAGATCTACGAGTTAGTGGAACTATCGTAGTTGTAATCATGTGACGGTGTTCTAATATACGGACAGGAAAATATGAAGCACCTTGCTATCAATAACAACATAAAGAATTAGTCAAGCCTAAACGCTGGGCTCCTGCACCGGTTTATTCAAAGCCCGATTAAGCTAACCCAGGATAAGCGAGAATTTTGATCTAAGTTTTTTTTTAACTTTGTGATGAGGTTTTCTGTTTATATTGTTTGGCCCTCTTAGTTTGAATAATCTCAAACTATGCAAAACATTAGTAGTGGAAAACATTTTTATACACGAAAAACTTATTATTTGGTTAACTTTTAATCCTGGGTTTGCGTTAACCTGGAAAACGTTGCACTGATTAAAGTAAGTTAACCTGGCGTGGGCACGCGATCCAATCGAAAACCCAGCACTTGGTCAGCGGTCAACTTTAAATACACGCGTTACCTTGATGCACTCTAAAATTCAGTCCGTAATTTGGTCACGTGATACTAGTCAGCGGTTACCTTGTTTTGACAGGAGTCAATTGAATATAACATGGATGTCCAATATTAAAGATGTACGTTGTGAGCCAAGGCTGCATGTCTCGGTCATCTTATTAGCTGGAATATGGCCGCCATGTTGCGCTACGTTGTCGTCATGCGCGCGCGCCCGCGAGCAATGCCGCTAGCCATTTTTACCACGAGAAAAGCGATTCAGGGGGTTCTATGAGTATAGGACTCCGCTTGACCGCTTGACTATTTTAAGCTACCGACATGTTAACGTGTGGAAATGCGTTGATTCCGTCAAGCAGTGTTTCAAAGACGTCGTACTATTTTTTCTGTTCAATGGTGGCCACTTTATTTTATTATGCTAGCAACAAGTTTTCTACTTAAAGCATAATCATGAATTTAAAAATACTGTAGTTGTAGTCAGGCATAGTAATAAAATCTTAAAAATAGACGTTTCGGCTAAAATACTATAACCTTCTTCAGTGATGAAATGAATGTTAACGGCGTCTAAATGTAAATGAGATGTTTATAAGAATGTGAGGAACTTACTAGAGATTAATTTAGCATTTTGTAAATGTCTGGAATATGCGCGTGGTCATTAATTGAGTTCGGTTCGTAAATGGAATGCCACGCTTCCAAGAACAATCTACGTGACCACAAGGGACAGCGGTCTATGACCTTGACAT